CTTGGGGAGGGAGGGGGAGAAAATGTAAAACTCAAAAGTTATGGAAGTGAATGTTGATAACTAAAAATAAATTAATTTTAAAAAAAGAAGAAAAAAGAAGATTGCAGGAAAGAACTCTTGAGACTTCCAAGTAATTACAGAAACTCACTCCCTTCTGAAATATCTTAGCAAGTTTTGGGGTCCCACTCTATAGAATTTGTTTTAAGGAAAAATAAGGATTAAATCTTATAAACATTTTTAAAAGTTTTTAAAAAGTAATCGGCAAGCTTAATAGTTTCATTGTTCTAGGACAATGAAGGAAAGCTAGTTGGTAGAATTCCAGAATGAAAAAAGTGAAGAAAAAAAATGGTTAAATGATTGGCACTTTAAGACCACCTCTTATTAACCTCCCCCTCCCCAGCTCAGAGACCCTCTCCCTTTTATCCTGTTAACCCTCTCTTCTCAGATCAGATTAAGAAAAGAGAATGCTGGAGAATTATAGGGAAACAGTACATCCTGCCCACCCTGCCCCAGCAGCTGCAAGTGGTCCCAGCACCTGCAGCTGTTGGGGGAGGAAGAGGGGTCAGACCCCACAGCCAGCATTCACCTTGCCCTGCCACCAGGAACTACTACCAAAGAGAAGGTCCTGGCACCAGCCACCCAAATCCCTCAGCCCTCAGCAGGTCCCACTTGGATACTGCCTAGGAGGGTCCAGATGCCCCTGGCAGCACCTAGAATGGCAGTAAAAGGTGGGGGAGCCAGCCAGCCTGCCTGTGCCCTTGGTAAGCACACCCTTCTCACTTTCAGTTGCAGAAACTTATTAGCTGTGTAATGTTAGGCAAGTTATCTTATCTCTGCTCCAGTTTCCTGATTTGTAATTATTATTTCTTTAATTGAATGTAATTGTTTCATGCCTGATAACTCTAAAGTGGTTTTTAAATGCCAAAGGTAATAAGATCAATGATTTTTATATGTGATAATTTGGAAATGCTGTTGATGTCATCTGAAGTTTTGTTTCATGTTTTAAATACATGATACTGTTTATGTTATTGTTGTGTTTCTAAATTGTATCATATTTCTAAATTCTCTTACATTGTGAAATTTGAGAGATCATTGTAACAGAAATGCTGTTAGACAAAACTTCCCTTTTAATATGGATGCTATTATATTATGAATTGGGCTTTTAAAAGGATGTGATTAAAAAATATATAACTGAAAACTGTTACATATTTAACAAGGTATTTTAGTTATAAAACAGGTAATACTACTACTACTGATAATATTTACTATAATAGCAAATTTTCTTTTGAAAATCTTGTCAATTATGAAAGTGTATGAGGTGGTTTAAAGATGTAGCTTCAACATATTAATGATGTGTCAACTATTAGGTGTTTGCTATATGTCTGAAGCCCCAGAATATGGGTAGCTTTAATTTATAAGTAAAAGATTAATGAAACTGTTAGGGAAACATTAAGAAAGACATTCAAACCCTAAGTTGTGGTTAGTGAAATTTTATTATTTAAGGTAAAAAAAATTCTGGGACTGTAATTTACTATTGTTTTGAGCTTTGATTATAGGGATAGTTATATGATGTCATATATCTATATGTCACGAAGCCAAGAGTAGAAATGGCATGTGAGGAATGTGAAGCAGTCTGAAAACTGGATAAAGGTTCACGTCTATGCCTGGGAGAGGTTTTGGGGATGACCTCAGACATGGACTATATAGGATCCCCCTGACTCTATTTCCCCATTGTGTTGTTTCCTTTCTGAAAAGGAAAATTCCTCACCTGGTCAATCCTAAGCCTTGCCTGTAACAGTTGTGACTACATTATATGAGTCAGATATGACTCATGCCTGGAATCAAACAGAGGCAAGGCAGTTTTCCCCTCTGTTATGATATAGGACATTACTATAACTATGTCCCTCTTTTTCCTTTTATAGCAAATTTCTGTAATGAAGAAGTTTTGTGAGTACAATACTAAATCTTTTAAATAATAGTTTGATACTGGAATATCTCTGAGTTACTATAATAGGATGCAAGTATGAACATATTGCAATTTTAGCCTATATTTGTGGTCAAATTATAATATAGGAATGATATTCTCCAAAGGGGTAAATGATTAGATAAAGTAATAAGACAAAAATGTAATGTGAAAGTTTTCTAGTTAAATGGAATAGTAAACTTTGGAAAAAACAACAGGATTAGACTTTTCTCTAAGAACTATACATACACACACACACACACACACATATATATATATATATGTAT